ATTTTGCTGTACTTTCATTATTTTGTTTCTTTTCCAGTAAGATTGTGGTATTATTGTCATCTGTTAAAGAAGCAAAATAAAATGGTGTTTGTGTCTGATTACACAACTCTGGAAATGACACATGACAGGAAAGTGAAAGAAGAAGGCAACAAGAAAAACTTCCTGTGACCTACACATCACTACCAACACACGCCCCGTTTTTCAAAACTTTGAAACTAGGAGGACCAGACAGTCTATATCTGGTAAGAATTGGAAGTAATAAAGAGCGAGGGACCATTAAACCCGAAAGACACCACGCTGGGACTTGATGTGGATTCACTGACAGAACGCAAGAGAACTTGTCAGGTGAAAAACAGAACCTTACAGCCTATTTTTAATAAAGGTGTTTAATTTGATGTTTAGCAAATTTTGAAATAATTCTGTAGCAGTCTTTGCTAAAATATACAAAACAGGTGTTAAAAATTGTGCAGTTAAGACAGGTGTATTGCACAGTGTTTGTTTTCATGAACATTGTGCAAAATGGCATCAGCAAAACAACGCTGTTTATTTCTGATGTTTTTAGCCACTTCCTCCATACAGCATGTGGCTACACAAAGATTCACTTTTTCATGACTAAGGTTCTTGAGCAACTGAAAGAAAAACAACTTCCTCTCCCTTTTTTTTTCAGGCAACATGGAGAGAAATACAGCTTTCCCCCTGTTCGCTGGCAATCACAGCCACGCCAACAGCACTTGCTCCCGTGACAATGTTTTGAAGAATGTGGTTTTTCCCATTCTCTACTCCTTTCTTTTCCTGGTGGGAATGTCACTCAATGGTCTGGCAGTGTGGATATTTCTTCGCATCCCCTCGCAGTCTCACTTCATCATATACCTGAAGAATATTGTGGTTGCAGATGTCATCATGACCTTCACATTCCCTTTCAAGGTTTGCCACGCTTGCATTAGGAAATCTAAATGGGTTAAGGATTTATTGATGGTTAATTATAAAATTATTGGTATTTCATAGGTTATTTGTAAGTATTTTAATGTTTTTTCTCATCGTTTTAAGTTCTAAGAAATGATTATGAGCCTGAGTTGTAAATATAATTAAGCAAACAAATTTGCAGTTGGTAAGTCAGAATCATGAGTTCTGAACTTCAAAGAAATCAAGCAAGAAGTGATTAGTTTTAAATTGTAAGCCTCTGATGAATAAACATCTATTAACTCTAAAGATCAGATTTTTAATAAGAGAGTTTCCTGTGAGAGAAAATTAAAAGACAGACAATTTATGAACCATACATTTCAGGGTAATCCAATGAAAATAGGTCCCATCAAACTTAGAGATAGAATTTGCGGTTTGAATGTGGAATAGGTGTTTGACAGCACAAATGTTTGTCTTTCTGCAGGTGTTGTCAGACTCCAACATGGCGTCCATTGGCCTACGGATATTTGTGTGTCGAGTTTCCTCCGTGCTTTTCTACCTCAGCATGTATATCAGCATCCTCTTCTTTGGCCTGATCAGCATTGATCGCTGCAGAAAGACCCTTAACCCATTTAAGGGCACTAATTCAACTCGGCTGAAACATCGAAAACTCCTTTCGGGGGCCATCTGGACTTTCTTCGTAATTCTCTGTCTTCCCAATGTAATTCTAACAAGTAAAACCCCGACTTCTCGATATTTCCAGTGCAGCAAACTGAAGACAGAGGGGGGGCTACGTTGGCATGAGATAGTAAATCATGTCTGTCAAGTGATTTTCTGGGGCAACCTGTTAACTGTGATAGTTTGCTACACTCTAATCACCAAAGAGCTGTACCGTTCCTACTCTCGCACAAAGTCTCACAGCACCAGAGGCTCGATATCTCAAGCAAGTCGGGGAACAGTTAGAAAGCCTCACAAGGCCAAAAGAAAAATGAATGCAAATGTGTTCCTGGTTCTGGCAGTGTTCTTTGTGTGCTTTGTGCCATTTCACTTTGCCCGAGTGCCATACACAATAAGCCAGACCCGAGCCAAAAGCTTTGACTGCAAACTCAAGCTCTTCTTCTTTCAGCTGAAGGAAAGTACACTTTTCCTCTCATCCCTGAATTCTGTCCTGGATCCTCTCATCTACTTCTTTCTCTGTAAGTCCTTCAGGACCACTCTGTTTAATACCCTGCACCTACTTCCTGGTACTTGTAGCTGGCTAACAGGAAGAGGATCAGATACCGACACGTGCAGCTCCCCTCAGGGAAACTCCACTGCTAGTACATAAAATCACTGGACCTGAGAAAGACATGAAGGCATTTATGATGATGTATAGCAAAGAAGTCAACTAAATCCAAATTCAACTGTATGACATACTGCAAGGGACAGATATAGTGATCTAAAGCCTGTCACTGGCTGTAGAAGAGTAAGCCACGGCCCATATTTGTCTTTATTACCAACTTATAATATTACAAAAATACTAATAGCATTGTAAATTACATTAAACCATATATTTGATTTTACACTGTCTTTGAAAACAGTGTGAATCAAAATTACCACAATGAGAAGCTGAAACGAATCAACACATGTACGCGGTGTTGCCGATGTTTGCTTTTCTAGTCTTCTTCTCTATCACTTTTTCTTACTTCTTCTTTCTACTTCTGTTGAAGGTGGACATAACATTTTGGGGATTTTTTTTATTCTCACACTGCCAACAAAAGAAGAATTGAGAAGCAGTCATAATACTAACTTTAAGACTTCCAGAGAATATCTTACTGTGAAACTATAGTAAAAATCTGTATAATGAACCCTAAGTATTATATGCAATCGCCTGTTAGTATACTGTGATGTCTTTATGCTGCACGGGGGTGCTTGCTGCTTGCATTAGCACTGAGTGAGATTTAAGGATAAGTAAACCATAAAGCAGGTTATGCAGTCTTGTTATTATTTTTATTCTGAAGCATTAAATGAATTACAACGAAACTAAAGTTGGAATGGACATATCAGGGATCTCCAAAAACAAGCGCTGCTTTCTCTCATAACTGCATAGCAAAAAGAAAACAGAAACACATTATGAAACAACAATAAAGGAAGTCAAGTGTCAATTACAGATTTTCTGTAGCTTTTTCTCACACAGGCTATTATTAAACCCTGCATCGCTCTTTTGTAATTATTGTAGGACTGTCTACTTCTATAAAAATCTATTTAATTATTCACATTTCAAAACAATACCCAACTAATTTTTTTTAAAAGTCCAAAAAAGCTAATACACATTAGTAATAAATGCTTGTAATAAAACAGCCTCAATTTCCAGCTTCATAAATCATTTCCCTCTGACCTGAAAACACAAGGCCTACCAATATGTGTCATTTGAATCTGCTCACAGATTTGCATCTCTCTGGTTGAAAAGGCACATAGACACTTTCAATTCATTGTTTACTGCATTAATCTTTCATGTTGTGCAGTTTGGAGTTAAGGACTTGACCATTCCTTGTGGTGAGTGGCTTAACACTATTTTCACTATTATCTGAAACTAAATATATATGTAGGACTGGTTAACATCAGAGTGATAAATCATTCGTATACCTAAATGTTGTTTGTTTAAAAAGAGCATAAGGTCTCTTTATGACTTAACATGCATTTGTATAGCTTCAGTTTTGTTTACCTGTGTCCCTGCGTGTCTCTGACTGAGGAAAAACAATCAGGTCTGCTCACTCACACAGGACACGCGTCGGCTCTTCATGAATTCAAGCTGAAACATATTTACTGACATACATGTGTAACTCACTGAGAACAGAATCATGTTATTGCCATCACCAGGAACCAAACCGTCAGTAAGTACTTGATATGTTAAGGAACCTATGAAGCAAATGGTTTGTATTAGGCTGAAAGGGAAGCGCCTCAGTACACTTCACGAGATAAAGCAAGGTTGTGACTCAATACATGTCATGAGGTATTTGAAAATGTAGTTATGCTAATGCATCTATAGGTGATTGCATGTGTTATGTACTGCATTCAGTGAGGCAAAAATAAAACCTTCAGTGGCAAAACAGCCATCATTCAGGATGCATTCAAATAGTGTGGGGTAGCATTCAAAAACAAATCCAAGTAACAAATGTCTTCTAAACTATAAAAAATGTAAATCATGTCAAAGTGGGCAAAGTGGAAAAATTTACACTGGTACAAACAAGTGCTACAAGTAATCTCGTTCCAGCTCATTTCACGCCCCATTCTTTATCCTCTCCGGAGCTAAGTCACTCACTGTGTTGTCATGTCGCACATGAAATATCGCACTCTTGCATGATTCGCAGCTTATTTGTGTTTGCTTGTTGCACATACTGTAAATGCAGGCATAGGTCCCCTCTCATGTCCAGCACCGCCATTCACCTAGCATGCACCTGGTGCATCACATCAGTAATATTATAAGCTCTGAACTTAAAGAGACGCTGTGAGCGTATGTCTGCTGCTACTTGCATTTGTACAATTCATCTTTCAAATCATTGCGAGACAAGCCAATAACTTCTGGAGGGAAACTTCACAGATTTGGGGAAAAGAAGAATACATCTTCCTGTAGACAGCAATGTACTGCAAGTGTATGGAACTCCTCAGCCAAAAAACGACCAGGCTAGACTAGAGTGGATTTCGACCAGACTAGAAAGCACTATGAGAGCAACTATGCACACAGTAACTACAGTTAGTCTGCACATCTGCAGTGTAATGAGGCCTTAGTGGGAGAGAAAGGTTGGTTTTGCCAAAAAAACAGACAAATGCTTAGTTTGATTTTGACCCCTATGTGTTTTTTACCAGATATTGACAATGTCAAACAGCACAGAACGCCTGACGCCTCTGACTGTCGCTCTCCCGGCCTGGTGGCCTTCCACATAGTTCTCTCATATCTTTTATTCTTCATCTTTCCTATTGCATTATTACTTAATGGAATAGCAGGTTGGGTGTCTTTACATCTAGAGTCCACTTCTACCTTCATAGTGTATCTGAAAAATCTGGTGGCTGCTGACCTTCTCATTACACTCATGATCCCACTACAGGCAGCCAGCATGCTTCCGGGTGCAACAGTTGAGTTTAGGGCTTTCATCTGCCGTTATGCTGGCGTCTCTTTCTACTGCTCTTTGTACACAAGCATTGCATTAATGGGTCTCATCAGTTTGGACCGCTTCTTCAAAATTGTTCGACCATGTGGAAAAGTCCTGGGACAAAATATGAAGTTCAGTGTAATAATGTCCACCTTGGTTTGGATTCTGTTGTTTGGTGGTACTGCTATTCCAAATATCATTCTCACTGACCTGGTTCCTGCTACTCAAACTGATGATTTATGTATGTCTTTGAAACCTCCAGCTGGCAAAAACTTCCATAAATATGTGGCTTTATTTATGGAGATTCTTTTCTGGTGTGTCAACATACTGATTGTGTTTTGCTACATCTGCATTACCATGAAAGTAGTGCAGTCCTTCAGAAACTCTGGGAGCAAAAACAGACGGGGAAAGAAGAAAACCAAGCTGCGAGTCTTCTTGATCCTTCTTGTTTTTTGGGTGTGCTTTGTGCCACTCCACTTAATTCGCATTCCTATGACACAAAATGAATTCTCTGACACTGATGTCTGCACTCCAACATGGTTAAAGATAGTCAGTGAATTAGCCACCTGGATGTTTACTATCAATGCCTGCCTAGACCCTCTTCTCTACATCTTCCTGTGCAAGGAGTACAGAGAAAAACTAGTGCAGATGAAGAAAAGTATCTGTGCTGGTGTTCATTCCAGTGACAAAAATGTGATGTCACAGTAAACAAAGTAGGACAAAGGCTATTTTTCTGTATTTGTGAACCTTTAAAAACTGAGATATAAGTATTTGATCTTTGGTAACAAATTAGGTGAGTGTTTTATGTTAAATTTATTAAACTCTGACTTACTCAGAAAACAAAACCATAGCAAGCACTTTTGATCTTTAAAGTTTGTATTGTACCACCATCTAGTGCCCCAATAAGGATCAGCATCTATTGAGAGTGAAGGTCCCCCAACAGAAATAAGACAATGCATAGATAGATTAATAAATGTTATGTTGCTTGCAAAATAAGTACAATGCAATGTAAATTTACAGTTCTATTCTAGCTAATCAAAGACTCAGCAAATCTCAATTTGCCTTTTGTTTTAATGAAAGCTGTGTTTTTTTATACATACATGTGCTGGTTATTCTACATATGTATATAAATATACAGTTCAGATTATTTCGGGACCACTTAAATCACAGACTGGAGCTTTAACAGTGAAATATTCAAGTTGAAAATCTTCACTTAGATTAATTTTGAAATTTGTTGAGAACCAAAATCATCAACTCTGGATTCCAAGGGCTGGATTCAAAATCACACACACACACACACACGCACACACACAATTCAAATTTATTAGTAGTCCCCTAATTTAAAAAAAAAAAAATTTTTATACTTACATAAACACATAAATTCAGTTTCTTATTTTCCAGATATAGTTTTTGATAGTTTTCTAAAATATTTGTGTCTTCTTTTTTTATGACAGCTGGACTAATTAATGTGTTAAGCAATGTACATATTCTTTGAATGGGTGAATATGTGGATGCTTAGACGGATGGATAGATGGATGTTGTTTTATCATTATTTCAGTGTTTTAACTCAATTATCATCTGTTGCTTTGTTTTTCACACACCATAGAAAGATAACTCGACTTTATATAAATGCATTTCTGCCGCACAAAAGAATGTAATTGTGTCTTTTATTACAAGAGCTAAACTGCTACTGCTAAGCGCTAACCACAAGAATTCTCATAAATCCTTTTTCAAGATATAATAAGATTACTGTTAAAGTGCACTATTAAGTTGTCAGAATGTAATTCATGTAATTCTTTTGTTAGAGTTAATTTCTTATTTAGAGACTTTTATAGCCTGTGTAATTTTTTTTCAAAATCTTTAATCGTTCTCTAAGGAATAAATGTGTACATGCAACTGTGTCCTCTTTGTTCTTCAGCACAAGTCCTCACTCAGCACGATAAACTTTCTTGACAGCTATTGCATTTCCTTTTTTAAGAAGACAACAAACTTCACTTTGCTTTAACATCTGATATCATGCTTTGGTCACTTGCTACATGATTGTCAATTTATTTCTTGAACTAACTAGGGCAATAAACAACCCATCGATGCAAATGCAATCGGTCTATTAAAAACACTGTAATAATATTTTTCAGAAGAACGTTTATTTCCTACATCGGCAATAAAAGTCAAAACTATGATGAGTGGAGAGTAACTTTGAGGATGACAAGTTACATAAAACACGGGAGTTAGAGGTCTTTTCTATACACACCCATAAATGCTTCAATCTAAAAGTGAGGCAGGTGTAGTGATGTGTGAAGTCTATATGCAGGCACTAAAAATCATGGGTCACCCTGACTACACTGGTTCACCCCATTGAATTTCAGGTCTAAGCACAGTTTACACTGCGAGCTGGATTTATGGCATCTGTTTTGTTTCTCGGCAGAGAGCAATAAGCTGTTATTGTTTTTGCATATGCTCTGATAAATTACCAGACTCACAGCTGAATTTGTTTACCATGAAAATCAACAGTATTTCTTAAGCGCCTGCCATGTCAGTGCATTGCCAAGCATTATCTTGTGCCTTAGAAGAACCACTCAAGTCATCAACTGTAAGTTATTCTCAAGATGTGCTCTTATCTTTATTTAAGAGTATAGTGTTCACTTTGATAGCATAATCAGGGGTGACAAAAATAACCTCTCAACTAATTACTTCTCAAGAGTAGTGTAATAAGATTGAATTTAGTCTACAGTTGTACACTGAAAAGATTTTTCTGTTCTAGTTTAGAATAATTCATTAAATATATCCTGCATAGCAAAGTTAAACAGAAAGACTTTTCTGCAAGAAATGTATATGTTTCTAAACCAACAAACATATTTAACCATTTAAACAACCAATGTATAGAGCATTTCCTGGATTAGTTATGTTTCTATCAAATCTCCTTTGTAAAGTCTATAAAGAGAATGAATTATCCTGCCAGGATAAGGATGCATATCTTATCGTATCGTAGCCTTTGGATTATAATGTATTTACTTTTTGATTAGCTTTCATAACTGGGAATTCAGAAGAGTAATTAACACCGAATACAGTTATTGAAGGACGTCATTTATTTGTAATGGAAAATTGAAAATAAAATAAATTTTATAAATAATATTATAAAACATAATAATACACCACTGCTTTTGCCCTGTTTAGCCTGCAGCTTGGACTAAGATAAGCAAGAGATAATGGATGCCACGTGGGATGCAGCCTTTCAAAGTAATCAGAGTGAGTAAAGAACTCAAAACACCAAAGTAATAAAAAAGTCATGAATTGTTGAACATTAAAGTGGACTTGACACTTTACATGTATTAAGGCTAATTTACACCATGGAGCCCAGCTCTAAAGACTGTCACTGTGTCACTGTAACACAGATTCACTGGGTTGGTTTGTTGATTGGTTGCTGGTAATAAACATGAATTAGCTTATGTTAGCTAACAGTAACAAAGCCAACAAGTGAGTGGAAAAAAAGAAAACTAAAATTGCAAAGCAGTCTATGCAGGGCTGTAATAAGGAATTTTAAAAAACCTGCAAAAAAAACAAAACAAAAAAGGATGCGCTGTTTACTTGAACTCTGTGTCTTTTAAGCAGTAATTTGTTTTTAGTTGCTGTCTAGCTGCACTGAAATGCAAAAATCCGCCTGTTAAACATGATGTTAGGGTTTGTAGAGCACTTTACAAATGAGGACCCTGTGGAGGAGATCCTGTTTGAGTCAGGTGCACCGAAGTCAGAAACTCGATTTTTCCTGTCATTTTTCCTATCCACTTCTGGTGTTCTGCAATACCCTGATGTTCACAACATTCGATTAGTGCTGTTTTATGCAATAACATTTTGTGGAATCTCAAACACATCCAAACAGTTTACTACAGGTTACTACATTCACCACAAATAACCCTATAAGTTTCTTACCAAAGCATGATCAGGAATCCTAACATAAAAAAGTCCAAATCTAATTAAAGGAGAGGATTGTTTGATGGATATAAGGATTCCCAATTTTGCTTTGGTAAATGGCCTGTATTTGTATAGCGCTTTACTAGTCCCTAAGGACCCCAAAGTGCTTTACATATCCAGTCATCCACCCATTCACACACACATTCACACACTGGTGATGGCAGCTACATTGTAGCCACAGCCACCCTGGGGCGCACTGACAGAGGCGAGGCTGCCGGACACTGGCGCCACCGGCCCTCTGACCACCACCAGTAGGCAACGGGTGAAGTGTCTTGCCCAAGGACACAACGACCGAGACTGTCCAACCGGCTCCTTCCGATTACAAGGCGAACTCCCAACTCTTGAGCCACAATCGCCCGGTTCTGGTAAGAAACTTAATTAGGTTTGTGGTGTGACATGCATGTAGTAATCTGTTATGGTGTAAACCGTTTAGATGTACTTGGGAAAAGACTATTTTATATAAACAAAATTCCCCTCTCGCCCGTGCGTGCGGTATATCCTTCACGCTCGGGTCTTCTACCAGAGGCCCGGAAGCTTGAGGATCCTGTGCAGTATATTAGCTGTTCCTAGGACTGCGCTCATCTGGACAGAGATCTCCGATGTTGTTCCTGGGATCTGCTGGAGCCACTCGCCTAGCTTGGGAGTCACTGCACTGAGTGCTCCAATTACCACTGGGACCACTGTTACCTTCACCCTCACATCTTCTCAAGCTCTTCTCTGATCCCTTGGTGCTTCTTCAGCTTCTCGTTTCCCTTTTTCCTGATGTTGCTGTCATTTGGTACACTACGTCGATCACTACGGCTGTCTTCTGCTGCCTGTCTACCACTATCATGTCTGGTTGGTTAGCCACCACTATTTAGTCTGTCTGTATCTGGCAGTCCCACAGAATCTTAGCTCGGTCATTCTCCACCGCCCTAGGGGTGTCTCCTATTTTGACCTTGAGGTTTCCAGGCCATACTCGGCACAGATGCTTCTGTATACTAAGCCAGCTGAAACACCAAACTGAATGTCAGACTCCAGCTTGGCTCTCATCGACACAATCCTCATTTATAAATGCTCTACAAACCACAACATCATGGTTAACCAGTGGATTTTCCCATTTTAGTGCAGCTAGCTAGCAATGAAAAAAAAAAATTAATGCTCAAGAGACAGACGGTGGACTTTTATATATAAATATAAAACTTAATGCTGCAGTCAAGGGCAGCATAAATTTTACCCCCTTAGACTGCTTATCAGTTCCAGTTTCCTTGTTTTTCACTCAGTTATTGGACCTGTCACTAGTTAGCTTACATAAACCAATTTAAGTGTCTTAGCAGCAACTAAACAACCGCTAACCAGTGACGTCACTTTCTGTACTGGCACAAAATGGCACTAAACATGTCCTGAAAGCTTTCACTTTAAGCACTTAAATCCAACTACACGGACAGTTTTAAATCTATTACAGTTTTTTTGTTCAAAGTAGCAATGATACATGTAGTGTTTCATGTCCATTCAAGTTGAATGCATTCAAGGAACAATCTGTTTAAAATACATACGTTACTAGACTATATAGGGATTTTCTTTTCTGGAACTATGGCCGTTTAAAACATGTTTTCCTTCTCTAGGTGGAGCGATGCCAACTGCGACAGCTCAAAATGATTCAAAGTGCCACAGTTTCACTTACAACCCAAATGTTATCCCAGCCCTCTACTATCTGATGTTCCCTTTAGCCTTGTTGCTGAATGGTGTAGCAGCCTGGGTGTCCCTACACCTTAAGTCCACCACCACCTTTGTGGTGTATTTGAAAAATCTGATTGCTGCTGACACTTTAATAACCTTGATCGTCCCATTCAAAATTGCATCTGACTTGTCGGGTGCATCACAAATTCTATTCAAACTGTCATGTCGTTATTTCAGTGTCGTTATGTACAGCCTAATGTACATATGTATTGGTTTGTTGGGTTTAATTAGTGTAGACCGTTTCTTCAAAATCATGACACCCCACGGAAACTTTGGCCAGAATGTGACATTTAGCAAAGTGATAGCAGGCATAGTCTGGATAACAATATTTGGAGTCTCAGGTATACCAAATATAATTTTAACTAATAAATCACCCAACTCGACACAGGCCATCAGTTGTATGCAAATGAAAGGAACAGAAGGATTTGTATATCATACAAAAACAGTGATTTTTGTCAATATTTTCTTCTGGATTGTCAGTTTGGTCATTGTGGTTTGCTACATCTGCATCACAAACAAAGTCATCGAGTCATTTCGAAACTCCGGCAGCAATAACAACCATGGAAAGCAGAAAATCAAACTACGCGTTTTTCTTGTTATTATTGTCTTTTTTGTGGCGTTTGGACCATATCACATAGTCAGGATCCCATACACGTTTCAGCAAGTCAACTATGCCAGTAATTCCTGCTTGTTTGAACTGAGCAAGTTTGCCAAAGATGCCAGCCTTTGGCTTGCCACCACAAACACGTGCATAGATCCACTTCTCTATGTCTTTCTGTGCAGAGAGTTCAAAGAGAAACTGGTATCTTTGATGGCAGATGTTGCCATCTCACTTAAATTGGCTTCAGCACCAGAGAAACCAGACACCACTTTGCAACAGACTAAATTCTGATAGATCTTACAAAATATTATCCCCAATTAGATCGGCTCAGATGTTATTGCTGCAGTGAACTTAATTATTCCTGTATTTATTAACATTTAATTGCATTATTTACTCTTTTAAATCGTGTAAAATTGTCCTTTTAGTACTAAATGTACCACATGAAGAGTTTGAAAAACTGTAACATGAAACGCAACAGAGTGAGTGGTATTTTCATGCTGATTTTATGTAAAGGTAGCACTGCATTTTAATCAGAAGGCGAATGGAGACAACGCAATTATCATGCAAAGCACATTCAATCATCTGTCTTTCATGCAGATGTTTTGTAATGACTGTGGTTAAAGTAAATAAGGTTCATGGCAATAAAGAGTTTGTCTAAAAGACATTTTTTGTATGATGTTAACCATGTATGCAACAAGTTTATGTCCTACTGCATTGCTTACTAATTATTAATCTGCTAAAATATATGTCTGTATATTCCATCTGATCTCACTGAGCTTTTACTTATATATTTTTCTTTGTGTGTGCCAAACTGACTGTTGGTTCATGGAATTATATTGTGTTTATCTGTCATGATATGTATCTATATGTGTGATGTGTGTTAAGCAACAACATAATTTGGAGACTTGTAATAGAAACACACGTGCTATTTCTCAACTTGCTTTGCAGCTGTCATAATTCTTGGTTCAAATCCAAACAAAAACCCACAGGAAGTTGCTTTTGAAATGTTCTCAGAATGTCCTATTTTTAACAAGAAAGTGAGAGTGGAAGGGGATGGTCAATCAGTCAGTTGTTGTTGTAATTTGATACTATTTACAGAAAATACACGCTATTTCAAACAGAGGAAATTTATAATAATATCATTTTCTTCCCAATTTTTTTTACATTAAATATAATGCATCATGGTAGAGCTTGCTTGCTTTCAAGTGAAGTCAGTAAGAGCAATGTGCAAGCTTTGCATGTTACTGTTGCCCACTAAAACCACAGCTGGTGGTGGAGACTTTTTGAAACAAAGCGTAAGTATTAAAAATTAGTTGCGAGGTGGAGCGAAGAGCTGTAGGGCGCAAGAGGTCTGCAAATAAGTCTGTGGCTGTGGTGTTCGCCTCTTAACAGCTACTAAGTCTGACGCAAGCTAGCGGAGGCAGAGGGACTGGCACGGAGTAGAGCAAGCCTCTCGGCAGACAATTGGAACAGGAAGCAAGGAAGGAAAGGGTCTTTCACCCGGAGGAAGACTGGCAAACTCATTGGGATTGTGACAAGACAGCCACACATTAGCTCCAGGGACCACCCATTGTAAGAGCATCAAACACACACACACACAAAAACACTTAAAAAGAGAGAGACAGAAGGGGAGGAAATACCAAGAAAGACATAAAGATTCAAGACTCAAGCCAGAACCAGTATTCCTGGACTGATTAAAGAACTAAAATAACAGCAGGAGGTTTTCAGTTTTATTTCATTTTTTATTTTCCTTCATTTTTTCCTGTGGCTAAGAAGAAAAAAGAGGAATTTGCTATTTCACTTCTTCCTTTTTATGAAACATTGTATTTTCCGTTGCATTTTGTCATTATTCTTCTCACGCCCCACCTACACAGACGATAAAGACACAAAAAGAAGGTAAGACTCAATTACTGGCTTGTCATGTACATCTTGCAGATAAATTACTTTGTGAAACTGGGCACAAATACTTAATTTGCCTAACAATGTAACTTGCAGAAAATCTAATTAACATTTGAGTGCACACTAAACCAGACAAAGGTTTGAAAGCAGTGTGTATTAGTTGCCATAGTCCATGTGTATAACCTCAGTGCTATTCTTCAGAGCAAAAAGAAGAGAGGACATAGGGAGTATAGAATGAACAGAAGCACAGACTGTGCATTTAAAGTATATATTAAGTCTGTATCTACATGACAACAACAAACAAAGTATTGGTACTTTTAAGAAGAGGGTAGGAAGCAGCTGTAAAATGATCTGATAATTCCTGTGGTCAATTTTTTTGTAACTCTTGTCATATAAATGAATAAACATCTGTCATATAAGTAATTAAGTGGAGTACTTCAGCTACATTTTCTTAGGGACTTTTGTGAGATAGACAAAACAATGCTATAATTATCTCATATTAATTCTAGAAACAGCACATTACAGTGTTTTTATCATTTCTTATGATGTCTCTGTCATCTTTTTTTCCACTCTCTCACCCTGTCAAAAGCCAACTAAGGATCACAGTATGAACAACACCCTATCCAACACCACCTCCTTCAAGTGTGTTCGGGATACCAGCATAACAGCTGTGGTTTTCCCCTGCCTATACAGTGTCCTCTTCATAGTTGCTCTGATACTGAACTCCCTCGCTGCATGGATCTTCTTCAGTATCCGAAGCACTTCAACATTTCTGGTCTTCCTAAAAAATGTGGTAAGACACCAAGGCTTTTACTTTGTAGGTTTAGTCTCGGCTGCAAAGTAAGGAAACAATAAAAAAAAAAAACAGCATTGCAATAACAAAGTTAAAATTTGCTCAACAACAGGTGGTGGCTGACTTGCTCATGACTCTGACCATCCCTCTGAAAATCTTAACGGATGCAGGTGTGGGTTCCTGGCAGCTACGCGCCTTCCACTGCAGATACTCTGCGGTGCTCTTCTACATCACCATGTACATCAGCATCCTCTTGCTGGGTCTCATTAGCTTGGACCGTTACCTGAAGATTGTCAGGCCCTTTGGGAAGTGTGCCCTTCAGCGGGTCCATGTTGGTCAGATACTAAGTGCAGCTGTTTGGGTGGTAATGCTATCATTAGCGTTACCCAACGTTATTCTAAGTGACAAGCCGCCACGGCCGTCTGGAAACAGACTGAAGTGCACGTCCATGAAGAGCCCGGCTGGCTTGCTGTGGCATGAAGGTTTCAACTACTTCTGTCAGGTAACTATGAATTAAGGAAATACTTTGAAATTTAAGCAAACTTTCATATTCAACCTCCTTCCATAAAATTTCAGAATCAGCTCCTTTAAATGTATCCCACAGATGACACTGCTGTCAGCTTTTTAATGTTACTCATAAGCATGTGTGTAAGCAAATTTCGCACAGTAGAGAAGTGTTGCTATTAATATATCTGAACTACAAAATCAGCTGATTTAAACAGAATACACGATGTCCTTCTGCAGTTATTAGAATCTTACTGCTAATGCTGACCTAAATTAATTGGAGAAAAGCTGCGAGGTGCTCCTCTGATTTCCCCTTTTCTTGTTTTGTTTTCCTAGGTTATTTTTTGGGGGACGCTTGCTTTGATGGTAGTCTGCTACACATTCATCAGCAAGAAGGTTTATGAGTCATACAAAGCCTCAAAGAGTAGATCTCGGGGTGCCAGTCGCAAAACCAAAGCGAAAGTCTTCGTTGTAGTGGGTGTGTTTTTCATCTGCTTTGCACCATTTCACTTCGTCCGGGTTCCCTATACCCTCACCCAAACACGGAGCGCAACAAGTGACTGCAAGGCTCAGAATGCCGTCTACTTTGCCAAGGAAACCACCCTGTGGCTTTCAGCAACAAATGTATGCCTAGACCCGCTTATCTACGTGTTTCTATGCAAGGCGTTCAGGAGAAGACTGACTGCTGCACTCTGTATTAAGTCTCTCCAAAAAGGTTTTGACTCAGCCACATCAACGCAACTTGAGATCTCACAGATAGCCTACAGTAAAAGGCTGTCACACAACGGCACGTCAGAAGCCAGTGAACAGTGCACACTGGGACACAATTAATAGCACCCTGGGAGAATGTTTATTTTGTATATAGTAATTCCTCCTAATAAGACGGTTGTAAAAAAAAAAAAAAACCATGTAAAAACGAATGCAAGTTTATAAGAAACTGATGAGTAGACAATGTGTCAAAGAAGGAAAGCCAAAAAGTCTCTGTGAGCTACAACTACTGCTTTTCATACAGTACTAACCAAGTTTCTTTGTTTTTTTGCTAAGTCATCCATCACATTTCCTTGCTTGCACTTGCTGTCATTTAAACTTCCTCCTTTCTAATCTCACATAAACTGCACTTTCCCTTTGCAAAGACTTTGACGTGGTGAAGATCTTGACAGCACAAATTTTCCCACGATTAGTGACAAGGGGCTGAATAATCATTGAAAAGAAGAATAATAGACTTTAACAAACTCTGCTTCCAGTAATTAAAATGTTACTATCAGTTTAATAAAAATTATATTTTTCATGCTGCAGTTGCACAGTGTTCACTTTTATGTACTTTGCTGAGGCTAACAAAGCTCACACAAGCATAATTGGTGGCTAAGCTAAAAAGCAAGCCAAAACCTATACAACAATAGCTACATACAAATAGATGAGGTTTGAAGTTAAGTTTAGGGGGGCTACCACGAGTTGTAAATATGTCTTGAACTAGCATTAGTCATGAAAATGAATCTGTTGTATTCTTTTTGTTGGTTTCTGAACACAGACGATTCAAGTATGAGAGATCGTGCATAAGAGATCATGATCTTGACAAAATGTTGTGTCTGCATCAGGTGATAAAGTGCGCTGTTTACTAATCAGAAGGTCAGTGGTATGGTCCCTATCTTTAGTCTGCTTAAACTGAATTGAAAGTGAATATTAATAATGAAATAAAACCAAACATAATGGCAAATATAAAATTGAAATATCTGTTTTGGGAAACGTAAATACCGGTGTTGGTCAGTCTGTCACATCTTACAGACTGACCAACTTACTTAAAGAAAAGATGCCAATTAAATAGAAAGAAAAGGTCAGTGCATTATGAAAGCTTGACAGGAATATGGTTGAGAGACACAGACGTTCAAATAACTTTTCATGGTGTTTAGTTATTTGAATTATTTGTTTGTTTGTTTTTAGTGCTTGCACACTTTACACTAAATGATAGATGACAATATTTGCCTATTTTTGTATCTAATTTTAGTGTTATTTCATATTTGGGACATTTTTTGAAAATAATAATGAAGGTAAAAAAAAGGAACAATGAACAACACCCTGTCCAACATGAGGACAGAAACGCAGACACACAGCACACTGCAGGAGATCAGCTATTTGATAACAACCACTGCAGCCCAACTAGAACAACGCCCAGCAATGCTGCAAGAATTTCCAAGTATAGCATATTGCCTTTCACAATGCTGCAGCAGCTTCTGATGAATTTTCAAATTGAACAAGGGATGAGAAAAAGAATACAGATCTGGAATTAATGGACTTTTCCCCTACACTACCACACCCCGAAGATGGGCTTCTGGACATTCACAAACTGGTTCGGCAGAATTAATGTCACTTCCCACCTGATTTATAATCCAGTCTGCATGTGGGTTTGATTAATATAATAATGAAATATGATCTTTCTCCACCCCACCCACTGTCGGTTACGACAGAGGCTGATATTTGGGCAGGAAATTAATGAGCTACTGAGTGGGGAGAGTAGCAACTGCAGCCGGGGGAAGGACCATTCATCACCTTCAGATTAAATCCTCTGACAGATGATAGTAGTGAATTATGAGAAATACCAAATTACATTCATGGAAATTAAATAAACCCCCCAAAGATAATGTTACCTACCCATTTCCACAGAAACAGAATTCTATGACTAGGGATCTATAACAAGAGGTAGGGACTGTCATTTAGTTGCATGGTTGTGTGAAGGCTGAAATGTGGACCCAAAAGCAGACATGTGGAAACACAAAACATGAAACATCTAGTACCTGAGCTAGACGAACAGACGACAAACAAAGGGAAACTCACACAATATATACACAGAGAGGTGGCAACAGCTGGGATGAATGGACATGATGACACAGCAGAAGTAAAACTAAACACACTGAACACAGGACAAGAGACTGTCAAAATAAAAAATAAAGCAGGAAAAATATGGAGACGAGGACTAAGACCCGAACACACTTGTCAAGTAATGTTTTCATGTTAGAGCTGCCAACAGTTTTAAAACACTCACTGTCATTTTAGGAAGTTTATTAGACTTAAACTGCAGGTCAAATATGTTATTTTTACACATTTTAGATCACCACAGCCAGCTGTGACATAGTTGTCTATTAATTGCAGGGTGAGTTCAAACCACTATCAGAAACCAAAGTCCACACAGCAGTCTCTGCAGAACACAAGAAGCTGTTCAACAGTTTTTTTGGTTTGTTTCTTTTTATACAGAGCCAACGAATTAAATATGTTAGGATGATATATTTATATTGCACGGAATCTACATTTGGTTACAATAAAGTAAAAAAAATCGGAAAAAATGTATACATAGAATCAGAATCAATTGAAGTATCTCGGGGTCTTGATCACGAGTGAGAGGGGAGAGCAGGAGATCGCCAGACAGATTGGTGCTGTGGTGCTGCAATGAGAGAGCTGAGCGTAAAACATCGAAAGGAGCCAGTTGAGGTGGTTAGGGCATCTGACAAGGATGCTTCCTGGACGACTCCTGGGTGAGGTGTCGGGGCATGTCCCACTGGGAGAAGGCTCAGGGGCAGACCCATGATATACTGGAGAGATTATATGTTGCAGCTTGCTTGGGAACAGCTTGGTGTTCTGCCGCACAACCGGGAATTGGTGGCCAGAGAGAGGGAGGTCTGTGCTTCTCTGCTTAGGCTGCTGCCCCGAGACCCTTCCCCAGATAAACAGAGGAAAATGGATGGATGGATGGATGGACGGATTGATGGATGGATGGATGGAGTGATATAACATTGGGTTATTTCACAGTGTTCGTCAGAGTGACAGCCTAGGGCAGTGGTTCCCAAACTTTTTTCGCTGGGCCCCCCTTTGTTTTAC